TCTTTCCTGAATAAAATAGGAATGTGCTACTTTTTTGTCACTAAGTATAATGGTGGCTGCTGGTTTAAGACAGACATTATTTACTAAGGGCCTATTAATTTTTGAATGTGAATAATTTTCCAATATTAAACTACATGTGGATTCCTGAACAGAAAGTCCACAAGCACTAATGCTCTATGTAGGATTTGTAAATTAACATTCCTAACTGAAAGGTGTTTATAGTTTTCTTTTGCATGCTGTATCTGTAAGTTTTGGCACGAGAGCTATATCTGTTTCATAAAATAACTTGAAGGGCTTCCTATCTTATTTTTCTATATTGAAACAATTTAAACAGTATAGGAATTATTTGATCCATTAGAGTTTGGGAAAACTTGGTCATAAAGATTCTGAGTTTGTGTTTTTTGGAGAGAGTAGTTTCTTAACTTTTTACTTGTTTATAGTCATTTGCCAATTTTTTAAAAAATAATTTTTCCAAGGATATCATCCACTTAAAAGTAATTATTAGAACCGTCCCCAGCTCTACAGAAGACCCCCACTTCCATCTCCAGACCCTGGCCTAAGGGATACTGAGGCAGGGTCCCCTGTCCCAACTCCAGCCCCGGCACCCCTAAGCCCAGAGACCTTCCCCCCATCTCTGCCAGCCAGGACCACCCCAGCTCGACAGTAGACCTCACTTCTATCTCCAGACCCCTAGCCTAAGGGACACTGAGGCCCCTAGGGTCCCCTGCCCCAGCTCCAGCCCCAAGACCCACAAGCCCAGAGATCCCCTATTTCTGTCAGCCCACCCCCAGCTCTACAGAAGACCCCCACTTTCATCTCCAGACCCTGGCCTAAGGGACACTGAGGCAGGGCTCCCTGCCCCACCTCCAGCCCTGGCACCCCAAAGCCCAGAGACTCCCTATCTCTGTCATCCAGGACCACCCCCAGCTCTACAGCAGACCCCGCTTCCATCTCCAGGCCCCTGGCCTAAGGGACACTGTGTCAGGGACCCTTGCACCAGCTCCAGCTCCAGCACCCCAAGCCCAGAGACCCCGATCTCTGTCAGCCAAACAGACCTTTTTATTTCCTTCTCTTCTTCTTTCATTGGTTAATTTCACACTTCTCTTTACAACACAGGACTGGCCCCAGCTCTACAGCAGACCCCATTACCATCTCCAGACCCCTGGTGAAATCGCTATCGTGCAGCACAGGACTTTCTCTTTGTTCTTCTTACTTTCTTCCCTCTTATTTGGCTCTCTCTTCCTCTTCCTCGACCCTCCCGGATGGAATAGATAGGCCTTGAATCACAGTTCCGAAATACCCTAGTATTATAAGACTCCCTGAGATCCTCCCTTTTACTCAACGACATGTGAAAAAAGAGATACTGCTCTTCAGAAACCTGAATAGAATACTCCTCCTTGGACCAGATTGCTAAACACAACAGAAGAGAGACTTTGGCACTCATGAGTCCATCACAAAAGGGAAACACACTTGCTCCTAGTCGAAGAAACATTCTCCTAAAAGGTATTCCAAACTGAATATATCTCCCAATGACTAGAAATAGAAAAAGAGTCTCAGGTCTGAATAAACCAGGAAATATGTCTCTGTAAAAAGAACAGAGTGACTCCCTTCCATTTCTCAAAAAAGCAGAGGAAGTTATCAAAATGTCAGAGAAAGAATTTAGAACATTCATTATGATCAAATTCTATGAGTTGGAACAGAAAAGAGACAATGAAATACAGATCAGGAAGTCCTTCCGTGATATGAAAGAAGAAATGGACATGCTAAGAAAGAATCGATGGGACTAATAGAGATGAAATCTGTAATACAGGAAATCAAAAACTCTCTTGAAAATATTAAAAGTCAATTAGACCATGCTGAAGATTGAATCTATATATAGAGAGAGAGAGAGAGAGAGAGAGAGAGAGAGAGAGAGAGAGAAAAGAAAGAGAGAAATCCACCCCCCCACCCC